TCCAATGAAATAAACTTGGAAAGAGAAAGAAAGAAACAAGGAGGATTCAGGAGATTAGAATTTGGGAGAACACAAAGAGTGGATGCACCTGCGCCATTGCAAACGATTTTGAGCCATGTCATTCAGGGTCTCTAACCATCGGTTGTTATCATCTCGTGGTCCCCAACCAGGTAGTCTACACCTACCAACATGACTCAGTTCACTTATCAGTGACTTCATGGACTTGTGCCATGTTTTGGTCTGGCTGCCCCTACCTTTCTTCCAACCTACTCCTACACCATAAAACATCGCAGGTCGGTGCAGTCGGTGGTTGGGCATACGTAACACATGTCCCAGCCATCTCAACTGATGAAGTTTCACTACTTCATCAATTGATTTGCCATCCTTGCCTAGTACACGTTTCCTAACAACTGCGTTACTTACTCGATGGTCCCAGGATATACGACCAATGTTTCGAAGACACCTATGATCGAATACTAGTAACCCACGAATATCCTCTTCTCTTACTGGCCATGTTTCACATCCATAAAGTAGGACGGAACGAACTGTTGCGCAGTAAACACGTCCTTTGGTTGGAGACGGATATCCCGCCTACGCCAATAAATGACGCAAGTGGGCAAAAGCTAGTCAAGCCTTCTGTATCCGTGTTGAGATTTCGCCAAAAACCAGACCAGAAGGGCTGATGAGACTTCCAAGATAAGTGGAGCGGTCGACACGCTCAACTACTTCACTCCCTATCACTAGTTCGGGTGTCGATGTAACCCAATCCTGAAGCAACATTTTGCATTTCGAGGAAGAGAATCGTATCTCGAACATGCTTGCATTAGAGTGGTTGATTAGAGTGGTCAGAAGACTCTGCATTTTGTCAGCGTCTTCACCAAATAGAATTATGTCATCGGCACATTCTAGGTCAACAAGTGAATCTCCTGGCAGAAGTTCAACCTCTGGAAATTTAGATGAAGAAAGTGTCATCTCTAAAAGCACGTCAACGACAAAGTTAAACAAGAATGGAGAGAGTGGACAGCCCTGACGAACACCACTTGAGGTAATCAATTCTGATGACAGTTCACCATAAGCTCTCACTCTATCAGTTGTGTTCGAGTAGAGAGCCTTTACAAGGTTAATGTACTTCTTTGGTACTCCTTTCAGTGACAAACACTACCATAGAACCTCACGATCAACAAAGTCGAATGCCGCCTTAAGGTCGAGAAATACTACCATTGTGGGGCATCTGAACGTGTGTCTGTGTTCTAGAACCTGACGTAGTGTGAATATCTGGTCTATACAACCAAGTCCAGGTCGAAAACCAGCCTGATTTTCTCTAGTCTGTTCTTCACGAGCTTTGGTTAGGCGTCGAAGTATTATTGGAGCTAATATTTTAGACACTATGTTAGTCAAACTGATTCCTCTGTGATTATCACAAGAGGACTTTCGTCCTTTCTTATAGACTGGCACAATCAGTGATTGAGACCAGTCAGATGGGATTACGTCCAGTTCCCAAATTCCACCTAACACCTCAGTTAATCTCGCTTCTAATATTGGACCACCATTTTTAAAAATCTCAGAGTAAACCTGTCAGAGCCTGCTGCTCTCCCTCACTTCTGATTTCCTATAGTTTTTTCAACTTCGTAAAGAGACGGAGGACCTATATTAACTTGCCATTCAGGTTGACTGGAGATCGCGGGAAACCGAAGTGTGGCTGAAGGCCAGTTGAACTGATCCCTAAAGTGTTCTGTCCATTGATCCAATCTCCTGGATTAAGAATGTATAATATGTCCATCTTTCTCTGTAATTGTTTCATTAATATTCGGATTCCTAATACCGGTTTCCTTAACATATCTGAACAATTGTCTGCTATTACCTATTGCCGCAAGATTAAGTGTGGTTAATAATGAAATCCAGAACGCGTGTTTTTTCCTATTCTAAACTCATCAGCTATCCGTACAAGATGCATACATACCGACTAAGACTGATTAAATGTTCAGTCAAAATATAAATAACGAGATAACCTAAAACATTACAAATTAAATAAAAATAACACTAACATTTCAGTCATGATATTTATATGAATTAAGAACTCCAATTTTATTCTGCATTGTTTTTAATTCAGTTTCAGAAATAATTATCTCCACAGTGAATTACAACAATAGAAACACTTTGAAAGGAATAATTAATAACAGTATTCTATTATTTAACCAGGAATGATTGTTTACTATTTACGTTACTAGGCGAATCAGTTAACGGAAAATTGTATTCGTTGATATGGAAATGTTGCATAGTATTAACGTTATGGTGTCGAAATTACTATTAATTTAAATTATCTAACTTAAATGGAACCTACAAATACTTGATATACAAGTAAAACGAATTTTTTTTAGTTGCAGAGATCGGTTTATTTGTTAACAAGAATAATAGATACACTTTTTTCCCCTAGAATTAGCAGTGCAATCCAAAATGCGTGCCTCTCCCTATATCGAACTCGTCAGCTGGATATGCCTACACCCTAATGGGGATATTAATACTACTCAGATTAAAACTCGGAATGGTCGATTGTAGTCCTTAAGATCAGCAGTGGGAATAATATAAACCCTTACAAATAATTGACATAGTATTTAACCTTGATACATTCAAAGTAAATGTATTATGAAAAATCTATATACATAAAGCATAGAGATGATAAATAGTTATTAGTTATTGAAATATATTTTACTGATAATCAGTGAAAAATAGGAAATACTGGTTACTTTGCGCTAACATTTATAGGCCATATTTCTTTATCTATCTACATAATTTATTCAGTACCAATTAGATGAACTGATTAGGATATGGGAAATATTAAATACAGTACCATATTCAAGTATCAATAAAAATAATCGATATAAATAATGAGAGATAACGATAAGATATATTATTGATACCAAATTTCAAATTGCAGATATTTCTACAATGGAATATTTGTTCTATGTTGCTATCTTAGGAACTATGGGCTTTTAAAACAAAGTTCACATATTCAGTTTAACTTCTTTTTAATCATGGACTAAAGGTATAATAATGTCTAGTGTCTAATAGTTACTTACTTTACTTACTTACGCCTGTTACTCCCAATGGATCATAGGCCGCCGACCAGCATTCACCAACCTACTCTGTCCTCGACCTTTATTTCTACTTCCTCACAATTCTTGTTCATTCTTCTCATGTCTGTCTTCATTTCTCGGTGTAATATGTTCTTTGGTCTAACTCTCCTCCTTTGACCTTGAGGATTCCAAGTGCGAGCTTGCCTTGTGACGCAGTTCGGTGATTTCCTCAATCTGTGTCCTATCCACTTCCAGCACTTCTTCCTGATTTCTTCCTCTGTTGGGATCTGGATTGTTCTCTCCCATATTAGGTTGTTGCTGATAGTGTTTGGCCAACGGATGCGAAGTATGTTGCGTAGACAGTTGTTAATAAACACATGTATCTTCTTGATGATGGCTTTAGTGGTTCTGCAAGTTTCCGCCCCAACTAGTAGAACTATTTTGACATTTGTATTGGAAATTCTGACCTTTGTGTTAGTTGACAGTTGCTTTGAGTTGCAGATATTCTTCAGTTGTAAATATGTTGCTGTTTCTTTGCTGATCCACGCCTTCACATCTGCATCAGAACCACCGTGTTCATCAATGATGCTGGTGTCTAATAGTAGTGTCAAAGAATATAGTTTTTTTATCTAAATGTAGGTTAATTGTCTCCATGTAGAAGATTCTTACTAAATCCATACCATAGATTGTTGGACAAAAACGTGAGAAAATTAAACACTGACCACTTAATAGTTTGATGGTAAGTTGTGTAGTCAGTTATGCCATGTATTATTCATTTAACACACCTTATTTAGAAAGTTCTCTTTCATTTATGTTATTGATTAGGTTACTTGAGTTTTTAGTCAGTTTTTCACTGAATGGCTAAATAAGTACTTATTATTATTTTCTAACCAGTAGCTTATTAATTGTAAAGCTAAGAAATTTAAATACTTCAGGCTAAAATATAAATATCCTCAATTTTTACATCTCAGTGTGCTACTGTCCTTAAAAGATTGCTTACTTAGTCACCTAAATAATGTGTTTTGAATCTCTCTACGTAGAGAAGTTTTATGTTTGTTTAACCTCATCTTGTCAATTGTTATTAAGGAATTTAAACTGAAATAAACCGTTACAGAAATTTTTTTAATATTAAATACATTTGACTAAACTTCCTAGTTTTGAGTATCACAGTTCAATCTTATAGTTATGTGTACAATGTTTCTTTATAAACGATTAGCTACTTAGAATGAAAACTTGGTTCAAATGGTCAAGGGTTACTAAGTCACACAATTTATAATGAGAATTCATTGTGATTATAATCTAAATAAATCTGGTGATATGTTTCAGGTTTTTAAAAAAGATGCTCATCAAGTGAAATTTCGAATATTCACAACGTTTTAAGGTCAAAAACAGTATTTTCAATACGAGATGTTGTGTTCAAGAGTCTGAAATTTGATTTGAAATTGGCTCTTGAAGTAGTCAACACGAAAACATTTATATTCATTAAACTGATTACTGTATAGCATGAAATATTTTCAGATTATTCTATGATTAAGCGTAAATCATGACACAATTGATATATGTCAAACTAGTGTTGAAATATAACGTTTATCCTCATTCGTCCATAGTTCACAATGGTGTATACTTGTGATTCGTATTTCTATGTATGATTCACTGTTTAAGTGTATGTATCTCATTCACCTTATTTTCACCCTTCATATCATTATGCTAAGAATTTACATAAAATTGTGCGTTTGATCTCGAGCTGGGTAAATATTGTTTACACTGAAATAACTAAATAATGGTCAGACAATTCATATAAGCAAATAAACATTATATACACATATCACAATTCTTCATATGAAATAGTATAGTTTACCAGTTTTCAATGATTGATTTTCAGCTGTTTAGATGAATATATAAAGTGTCTGTAATGCATTTGATGTCACCCTTAAAATGTGTGTATATAATCTCATCTTATCAACAATATTGTATTACTTAACATTTGAAAAATGAAAATATCAACGGATTTTATGGATAAAATGTTGATAAACTACTTCTCTCTCATATACTTTATATACTTGTCTTTGCTACTAATAGAAACACAATGTATTAATGATAATAATTTATGGCAAGTTATAACTTCATATCCAAATGCAACTAAAGTGAGCTTTTTATTGATAATCATTATTGATATGATAACCTTACTCTAATTTGTTCATTTATAGGATACAAGTTATATTAGATTCTCAGAAGGGGTTTTGTGGAGATTTTAGAAATTTCAACAGTTGAAATCATCAACCAATTGAAGTTAGACCACTATGAAAAACCTAGAAGCACTGGATGGTCGTTTTGTCCTAGTATGGGACTCCTCCAGTGCTTCCAGGTTTTCCATGGTGGTCTAGCTTCAACTGACTCATGATTTCAACGATTGACATTTATATTAGATTGCTGTAAATAGTATAAGACCATCATAGAAATGTACACTTAGATTTAAAGCCTAAAAGATGTAATTCTAACCAAACGGTTGAATAAGATGTTAAAGAATTACATCCTTAATCAAATGTTTGAAGAAGTTAACATGATAGATCGTAGACTGAGATAGTTTTCAAACTCAAAACTTTATTGTTTCTTAACACAACAGTACTTATTGATTGCTTAGTTTGAAAGTTATTATATTGGATGGTAACAAAATAAATCAAAATGTCCAGTACTATTTAGTCTTTGCTTGTAGTTCGGATGAGATCAATTTGTCAAAAGATCGCTTCCAAAGTAAATATTTATAATGTATTTGTTGATTTGTTTTATCTACAGTGAACTATTAATGTTCAATTTTATATAACGTTATAAACTTACGATCTATCCCATTATGCATAATGTATTATCTAATACTTATGCTCATTACTTTTCAAAAATTCAGTTGCTTCTATGCATTACAACAAAACTAGACTGAATATATATCAAAGCCAAATTGACTCTTCTGAAACGTGGTGATGAATTATTAAGTAATTCCTTGATCTTTGTAATCCTATACAATTTTTATACTAAATATCTCAAATGTTGCATTTATCTAGTTATGATAGAATAGTCAGGTGACTAATGATACTTTTGTATGTAACTCATTTTTTTCCTAATAGTTTGGAGTATATGATAGTATACATACCGTTTTAATGCAATCAAAATAAAACTTATTTCTAATACTGCCCAGTAACTATAGTTCTTTTCTTTCGTGAACATTATAAAAATTTTTTATTGAGATAACGAATCAATTTCAGTCAGAAAACGAACGATCTTCATAATCCCATACTGATGATAATGGAGATTATTTGTGCCTAATGTATATAGATAAATATAATACAATTTTATGTGTTAATATTCCGAACACTTTCACTGGTATATTTTATAAGAAACACAAACTGGATTAATGATTTATTTTCATGTTTTTATTCATTATGACTATATACTGACATGCATATTCAATCTTTTCTTTTAACAGACGATATCATTGTTTCTTCAATTATATTCACAAACTTCTTTTTTTTAAGTTGGTTAGGTTCAAAACTAGTTACAAACTGGTAATCATTTCTATTGGGATTTGAAATTCTTAGTTGCTTGTTTAATCTTATGGATATAACAGGATCGTTTAAAACTAAATCATTGGTATGAATAATCATTAAATGCTGATGATCCAGTAACCTCACATAAAACTTATGAATTCAATTTCATGACATTTCTATGATACTTATCAACGTAAACCTGTTTTTTTTAAGGATTATATAAAGTATACTATACGACTTACGTTTTTTTTATAAAAGTAATTTGTAAATTCTACTTTTGTCCTTTATTTCACCCTAGTTTGCAGATTTTATTCAAGAAATGAGACTTCAGAATTTGCTCGAGAAACCTGGTTGTTTTGGTGATGATGAATGTTTGACAATAATTTTACCTACAAACGATGCAATTGATCATATGGCTAATGATTTAGCATGGTATAGTTTAGACGATTATCAAAAACATTCATTTATACATGGTCATATAATTCAAAGTATGTTTAAATAAATAAAAAGAAACGAATACTTTGTTTGGGTATTTCTTATCCATATTCTATTTTTCTTTATCTATACATGTGCATTGCACATTTTTAAACGACAGACGTAATATATAAAAGCTTAGAGTCTTATTGAAAAACGAGGTTCCAACTCAAGGGTACTAATAAATAGCTATTGGAAAAAAATACAATAAAGTAAAAATCAGGTCGAATCTTTCGAAAGAGAATACCGTATTCAGCATCATGGAAAATAAGTTATCATAGGATGTAATTGTATAATCAATATCCATCTATGGATACAAAAATGAAGTTTATAACGTTTTATGTAAGTTAATCTGTGAAAATTTCAGTACATTTGAATGATTCTACTCATTTATTGTTATTAATACATCTCTATAACATCTACAATATAACCATTATTGTTATTTGGTTTCTCTAGATGTAAATTTTTCGAAACATTTAACTAATTAAAACGATCATGCCTGTAAAATTCCTTTCTTACTCTTTACACTTGTAGGTAAATGGAAAAGCGCCTTGTTGATAGTTAGTGTTGTCCTATCCTGTGATTATCACAGACGATGTATCTGGGTATAAACTTAAACCATCTAGTGTTTTAGATTATGATTACTGTTTACTTTGCTTCTAACTCGTCCTGATCATTCTGTATGATTTGTTTAGAATCTTATGGTTTATTGATAAATTTAAGTCGTTTAGGCGAGACTGTAATTTATGGACGAACCAATCAGATTTAGGATAATAGGTCTTGGATTTTGGCGCGAAATTCACTCATCCATTTGGATAAATAGCTGATATCAATTCGTGAAGAAAACCCTAAATCTAATTTCTAACCTTAATCGTTAACTGTAAATCGTAATCCTAATTCCTCGCACGGGTTTATAACCCTCATTTGATCCTGGTTATTAGGTGGACACTCCCACGGTCAGTTTAGCGTCGCTCAAAGATTGCCCATAAATTATAGTCTCACTGTCATTTACGACTCTAACAAAGGGAAGTAAATTTTAACTGGTTCGTGGGTTAAGCTCCTCGTAAAAAACATACCATTGCATTAATGAACTCTATCGGTCTTTTAGTATTCTTAAGCCTTAGTTAAATCCTTGGTAACGAGAATGTAGGCTTTTATTCGTTTAACAACTCTGAATTATCTTTATCTTTGTAAATCCACTTAGTATTTCATCATGACTCATAACATTTATATCTGATCCTTTCCCAATAAAGTATTTGCAAAGCTTTTCTCAATATAATAACGAAAATTATTCGCAATATTAATAACAGTTTCGAAAAAGAACCCATGTTTATAGCATTCGTAATAGTAATTTCCTAGCTTACTGTATTCGTGGATAGACGGATTAAAATTTATTTATCATTTCTTCCTCATCATAGGAGGGATTACTACTGGTCAGTCATCTGTACGTGTAACAACAAGAGAATGGACAAAATTAGGTCAACAAATGAACTTCATCGATATTGGATTCGGTACAGGTGTTGAATATACAACATTACTTGCTAATCAACAATTCGGGTTTTCAACTATAGTGAGTTTACAGATTTTATTTATCAAGCATTTCTGTTAGTGTACACAAACGATTTTAGTGATCTAACTACAACATGAACCCAGTGATTTTTAAGAATTCAGTAAAATACTCATGATAATTACAGGAATAAAGTTGGTTTATCCCATTAACACCAGAACCTTAATTCACCTGGTATAAATACTTAGAGTTGCCCAACAAGTGTTATGGTAAAATGTCACATGTGTCGTTGACTGAACCAGAAATTCAAACCTTGGTAGAAATTTCTTTATCTAATATTTCGATTCACCGAGCTGAGTCATTGAATGATCTATTTGAACTATTTATTCTTGGTAATCATCCTTGCATTGTAATTTCAGGTTTCGGAAAAATATAGAGAGCTTGAGTAATATATTTTCTAAAATCTGAGATAGACTAGGTGTTGCTCGCTGATATTCTTATGGCACAGTGATGCATAAAGTACTGGGGAATCAAAGTGAATTGAAAAAGTCATCTCGTCTCTTGATATAATTCAGTTTAATAGCTTTCTGTTTTACAAAGTAATTTTAAAATTCAAGCTTATTTACTTTTTTGTTTATCTGAACACATAAATACTGGTACAAAGGGTCGCTGAATAAATATGTGCCACACAGATGCCCTGGTACAGTCGAGGGTGGGGAGAGCTAGCTCTCTCTCTCGAAATGTTCTCACATGGCCACGAGTATACAGCCACTGCCAGCGAAGTCCTACTCACTGCCTCCTCGTGGTGAGGGTGTTGTTTACGAAGATGAAATGACGAAAAGCGAATGTCCAGCGCTTTAACCGGGTTGGTGGATATGAAGGACCCACCTAGAGGGGTCGGAAAACCCTGATTTAAAACCAGTGATGCACCTAGGATCGAGGATCTGGAGGGAAAAAATTGTTAGTCACCGGCTACCATGAAACTACATCTCCTTACGTTGCTCCACTGCCTTGTGAACCAGACCTTGAGGTCGAAGGTTTTGGGTATGGTCCCCCCTAAGAAAACCACTTGCTTGGTCTGGGTGCTCGGGTAGTATCACAGCCCATACACAAATCGAGTGACTAAAATTCAAGCTATTGTAACTATGTGGAAGATTTGTGTTTTCCTGTACATTTGCATTGGTGTATCACCAAGTGAAAATAAAATAAACACTTTTCACCTATTTTCTTACTACATTTTTATGAAGTCTACCGAAGATTGTCTGAAGTGACTGTGTGTTTTCCTGATTCCATTTCGCATTAATAGTATTTTTATGGTTACAGCAAGTTATGAGTTTCTTGTCAACCTTTATTTTGAACAATCTCAAATGTATACAACATTTGGAAGATAACTAACAACGACAATAGGTATTACGTTCATCCACCCAAATAATTTCGAAATATTGCTGCCTATTAGATTGTAATTTTGATAACATAATTAACTGGATGCTATAACATTTTGTACTATTCATCCGGCATGTCGGGCTCAGCTAGATTGGATATGTCTGTAACAGACAATGACGATTAAATCCAGCTAAATTTTTACATATCTGTGATGAAATTATCCAGAGGTATTGTCTAAAATTAGTTAATCTTCTTTGGTAATTTTCAGGCAAATTCTACATCTTTATATTTTGTAAATAATGCAAAAATTGTGACACCAGATGTTATGGCTTCAAACGGAATAATACAAATAGTAAATCAAGTATTATACACACCGTATATTTCATCACCATTTATGGAATTTTTACAAAAACAAGGAAATTTAGGGTAAGTAATGTATTTGGTTGAGATAACTACACTGGCCTGTTGAAGCTTATATATTTTCCAAATAAATCTTTTGGATTCATGTGTTTCTATTTAGCTATTTATTCACAAAACAGATTTCCTTGAGCGTGTAAACTGTTGAATTTAAACTGATTTGTCTAAGAATCCAGAGTTTTCTGTTTTACTTGAAGTTTATAAGTTCATTATTTTATAGAGGTCGCAGATGTGAGCTACAAAACTGTTCAAACTAAAATGAGACAGTTGTCAAATGTTATATAACTTTTAATAATTCCCTGACTGATGACCGTTGATGAAAAATGTCTTCAAATTTAACTTATTTCTGCAAAAAACAACTAAGCAAGATGTATAGATTATCTATTGATTAAAATACTATGTTAATCTAGTATTTCATTTCTGTCTCTGATCTTACCAAAAGGATGATCAGTAATTCAGTCTTTATTCCTATTTTTGCTAGTAAACAGAAGAAACACGGGAACCGAGCACATATCTAACAGAGATTACATTATCTGCTTGTTTTTATGCTAGAATATGTTTACGACTACTTTAACTATTGATGTGATTGTTTTTCCGCCGCATCGCCCAACTAAGATGTCAACTCAAAACTTCTACACCAGTTTATTTTACATAACCTTTTGGACTGAAACTTGCTGTTCACATTATTCTATAGGTTAATCATGTATAGTCAATTAGTTAACTACAGAATTATTGACGGTGATAGCTCAATTTAGAAGATCTGTTAGGATATTTTTGACATTTTATTTTTCGATGCGGTTGTTACAGTACATGTTAACCACCAGTCACGACTAAATTAAGATTTGATTTTGGAAGTCTTGTGAAAATTCAAAGTTTATATGAAAGGTTTATACGGTTTGACAAGTTATCAAGTTGAATGGATTAAAATGTATTAAACAGATATATCACACTTTTTCACATCAATAAGAGATCAGCCAAATGATCTGAGGTGAGACATACCATTGGTGGCCTAATTTTCTAAGGGATATATGTATATATATATAAGAATGCGTTCACCTACACGTCGATTTGGCCAGTCAACAAACCTCCTATCGAACTCGTTTCACTCGAGTACCTGGTTGAATTCATGTACGTCATGCATGTTACAACATCAAATCTGTCTTGTTATTACATTTTCAAATTTTATAAGGCAGGTTAACTTTTCTGAAATAAAAGTAATTTAATGTCGAATTTTTCTTCATTATACTTATGATATTCAGCAGATTTTTATAATTTTCCTGCATTGTTAAAATACATTAGTATATATTAATGGATTATAATTTTAGAGATTTTATCCATATACATGGATATTACTGAAATGTGACAAGTACCAGAAAAGATTTAAACCTTCCTCATTTATTGGAATCAGTTGGTTGTCCCTTTTATTGAAATAAAATCTATGACAGTCCATTGAAGTCATTTTAAAATTAAGATCTTTGTAGAGAGTACGTTTTGATCGAATATTAAATCCGTGTAGGTTCCAATGGAACTCATTTACAAGTTGAACTTACACCGCAATAATTTTCTTATATTCATCTAAAGGCAAAGATTTTGAATTAAAATATCTTTTATGCAAAATTAAACACGATTATGACATGGATTTTTTACACACTGCATTGTTAATTCAAGTACTGCAAAATTGTTTAAAACTATCTATACTTGATATAATAATGAAAATATTCATCACTACATAATTTGACTGAAAAATCAGTAGACTCCATGTGAACAAAATCAGTAAACGGTTTATTGATGAGGAGTCTTATAGTAAAATGAACTAACTGTTCACTGCTACTTTGTTTAGAATATTTCATTAAATAAATACAGTCTTTGATATATAATAACAAAACCAGTAGGTCCTGGGATAGAATCCCGCGGGGTACGGGATCGTGGATGAGCACTGATGAGGAGTCCCATAATAGGACGAAACGGCAGTCCAGTGCTTTCAGGTTTTCCATGGTGGTCTAGCTTCAATGGACTCATGATTTCAACCTGTGAACTTTCTAAAACTCTCCACAAAACCCATTCTGATAACAAAATTTTTATAATTTCTACATTATATACTGATATTGATTTTTAAACAAGCTAAACACATTAATATTTTCACTTTCAATATTTCCATAACAGTATATCAAAAGAATTATGGTACTTATTATTGCAAGAACCTAAATATGCACCATATCCAGCGCAACATATCTATTCAACTATATTTGTTGTTAATGATTCTGGTTGGAGCTCATTACCAATTATTCAACTGAACAGATTAAGAAAAAATATCACTTTACTAGCTTCTGTAAGTGGCTTAGTTCATATGTACTTAAAATGAAAAGTGTAAATTTGTATTTGTATTTGTAAATCAATCTATCCTAATTTAGTAATTAATGGTATATCTCAATCATTATCTTACAGGTTGAATCCAGGTTTTCAATGGTGGTCTAACATCAATCGATTCATGATCTCAATCAAATACTTAAAAATCTCCACAACCCTATACTGATTATGACCATGTGCTCACTAGTGACTAGCTTCATGAGGGAATTTTCGGAGTTCTAGTGAGAAGCCGTGACCAGTGGAGTTAATCCGTGTCGGGCAGAGACAGGTATCTACCTCAGTACAAGAGAAGATGGTCGTGCGATTTCATGGACTGATCGACGTTATACATTAACACCGTTGAATATCGGCTAAGTGGTCTATAGATTAAGCGTTCGCGTGCGAGACCGAAGGCCCTGGGTTCGAATCCCGTGAGTGGGTTCTTGGATGCGTACTGCTGAGGAGTCCCACAATAGGTCGAAACGACCGTCCAGTGATCCCAGGCTTTCTATGGTGGTCTAACATCAATCAAAAACTTAATAATCTCCACAACCCTCTACTGATAATAAAAAGTAAATTATGACCTTTTACTCGCCGGTAGCCTTTTTCAAGATGTATTTTAAGAAGATCTAATGAAATATTTGGTCTATGGAGTCAAAACAGTTAAACTTGAGGCTAAAAATCACTGCCTAGATTTCTCAATGAACATGTTAATAACAACATGAGTGAAGTAAAAGTAAAAAGCATTAGGTTCTAACTTAGTGGAGAATCGCTAGCATACTCCATGTAAGATCTAATAACTTTTGGTTTAATCTATTTTAAGAGATAGTGAATGACTGCCTCTGAGGAATCCCAAACTAGAGTGAGAATTTCGCCGAAACTAACTGCCTGCTAATTGTTTCCCAAATGATCTTAGTTAGTGGTTAAAATTGTTTTAAACTACCACACTTAACAATCTGTTCATCTTCACTTCTATTCTAGGTTTTATCTTATCATTATTGTCCAAATCAACTTATTTATCGCGAATGGATTTCAGTGAAACCTAATATGAATATTTATACTGGTTTTCCCAATAGACCACAATCTGCAACTAGTATTCAACTAAGTGAATTAAACCCAGCCCAACTATACAAAAGTAGTGGTGATTCAAGTAAGTGATATACATATTATTGTGACTATAGACTAATTAGCCAAACATTCATTTATTTTGAATAGTTAACAAGAGTTGTTTTGGTTGAATTTCAAGTAATACAATGAGATGTATACAATGATTTTATATTATGAAAACAGAAACTAATGTATGCACCCAAAATTGATGTTTGATGATTAACAGTAATAATCAGAAAACCATGGATATAGATTTTGTACTATTTGACACTCGTTACCAAGGTATATCCATAATCTTAAGAGAACTGATAATGCGGGCACTACATTTATAGATATTTCCACTTAGCTGTTTTATCTATGACTTATCTAATGTATGGCTGAAATATTTACGAGATTGTGGTTAGATCTTGATATCGAATTCTAACTTAAATTAATCTAAGTGCAAGACATCAGCATTAACAGGAAAACTCATTTGTTTTAAGAATACTCGAAATTCGATGTAATAAAGAAAATTTAGTTGAACGTATATTTGTATTGTAGATTCATTTGAATAATTAGGGATCATAGGAATTTTAAACTTATCATTATACGAAATGCGAACATTTAAGTAGTCTCACTATTTTCTTATTGAAAACAAATTAAATTAATTCAATGGTTGATCTGGTTATCAAAAGGGGCATCAGCCTCATGCCTTCCTAAGGAACTCGGCTTTCACCATGAAGCGTCATAACTCTTCTAAATGAAGACCTTTCAACTCCCAGGGCAGAGTTTAAATGGTTTGAATTATTTTTCCTAGTTAGCGTTTTTTAGTGAGTTAATTTTCTACGGAATGGGGTCGCTAACCCAATGCCTGAACCCCTCCTTTATCTGAACTTGGGTTCGGATGTAGCCCCAGAGGGACAATTCTAATTAGATCATTCTCATAAACTCCTTTAATAATTCTGTATTAAATATTACTCCTACTCTCGAATTTTTAATGAATTAATTACGTTTTAAATATTTAGTTATAATATCGAGTGGAAATACTGAAGCAAAATTGGAAGATAAAAGTTTCATCATACAAAAAGCAATCGTTCATATCATTCAAAAGCCATTAGCATTTATATTTGAAACACGAGAAGAAATTCTGAATAGAATTAATTCGTAAGTTTGTTAATAATTAATAATTTCAATGTAGTATAGGGTGGTTTGTAGAAATTGTAGTTTCCATAGCTTAAATCAATAACTGGTCTTAGTTAGATGACTAATGTTAAGAATTCGAGAGCAAAACTGATGGTCCCGGGTTTGATCCCCAGATGCGAAATCATGAATGTATAATTCTAGGGTTTCCAGGTTTTGTGTTCTCGCTGAGATCATTTCGTAGCAAAAACTGAATGAATATAGTAAAAAGGATTACATTTTCACATTGAGACGTATAGTACAATAAGAACCTAAATTTAATCAATTAACGGCATGTAAGCTCTCAGAAATGGATACTTTTCGAAATAGTAAAACTCATTTCCACCTCTATTGTAGTCAAAAACTCACATATACACCTGGAATTTGTGATAAAATGTAGTGAATGTCAATTTAGCAAGTGGATAAATAAAACTATGTTAGATAATCAGCAGAAAAATTATTTCGTCAATGAGGTTGATGCTGCAGATTGGGAATTATTGTAAGGAATAAAATTGATAAGCTGAACTTTACGATAGACTCATGATGTCATCTGCAGAACCAGCAAAGGCTGTCACTTGGTAGTGCTAACGATCAAGTTTATCATGAAGTCTAATAGTTTTCCAAATTATAACTTCATTAATGTGTATAATAACAGCAAGACGTTTTACAGTAGTTTGTCTCTCCGTAATCTCAAGGTTTTGCTTCTAATACTGTCATATATTTACAGTCATTTGTCCCTTCTAGCCATTACTTCGAAAATATGAAAACCAATAAAATAGAACTGATTTCCTATTCGTTATCATGTGCAAGAATTTTTAGATCCATACGCTTTCTTAGGGCACTCAAATTTGTTCGAATCAAAGATACTGTTCAACCCCGACACTCGTCTAAGGGGTGTGAAAACGTTCCGACTGGCCAACGAGACAAACTTGTTGACTCATTGGTGCCCAGCTATGGAAAATATAGTTAAACCCTTCAAGACCAGGACACTAAACTGAATACTAGTCGGATCCTGAAAAATTCTAGACTACTCAGATCGCAATTAAAGTTTATTTTATCTACAGTAACATTACTATGAGCTGTTAAAGCTAGAGTCATAGTATCAATTGGGACCAGGTCTGCCTTCGACTGATTATCTTGAGAAAAATTAAATTTCAATCATTAGAACTACCCAGTCTTAAAGGAGTTTCTTTATATACCGATAGTTATCTGTTAGTACTCTAGTAGATATTTCTCACTCTCTTAATACGAAATAATATTGTAATTTCTCGTTACTTGCTAGCTTTATGGTTGGCGAATCATTACCAACAATTTACCAGGAAAGTAAATCAAACGACTAGTTGTTGAAGTAAGAGTGAGAGCGATCAGTAAGTTTTTCTTGAGCTATCACACAGGGAATACGGCATGAGTTGCACCCAGTTGGTTCTATTCTCATAAATCCTTGCATTCCCTTGTAAGTCATAGTGATGTGATAAGCATTAGCTCTTGGAATATTACAGACTTTCTTGTAGTCTTCATGAATTATAGTCACCTCACACTAAGCTAGTCTTGCATTATACAGATCTTTAGACGAACTAGACTTCACGAGAACTCTACAACCTAAATATTACACTTTCATCCGCTAGAGCAAACACATAAATACCAAGAACCTCAGTAGAAACTTCACGCTAAACGCGAATAGTCTTTCCGACCATTAAAGATGTCATTCATTTATGGCCTGATAATTTTAAACAGAAGTGTGCTAGTTCACCATAACTCAACTATAACTCTTTAATTTCGCGTAGTAGAAAAAAACTAAAACACATTGTTACCGATGGCCACCATAGCATGGGAACAGTACATAATTGATTTCGATGTGAAGGAAGTATCTCTGCATATTATTAACTGGATGGAAGTCCAACACCTTTCTATAAATGGTGAAATAAATCAGAAATATATCAGTTCTTTCGTATATGTGTCATTACTTAAGTCTCTCAAAGTCTGCTTATATTAGTCCAAGAATTCTAGTGATTAAAGAAAGCTAATCTAAGAGATTACGTACATTTTTTGAGGAAGAATTGTGTATAAAGTTACAAGGAACCCGTATTATTTGACAAACAATAAAACCACCGGCATATTTAACTCTTGATGCAAGAATAAGTTAATATCCAGCTGTCTGTTTTCGTATTCAGTGCGGTCCCATATTTAAACATAATTAAATCAAGTAAGTTTCTATACAGTCAAGTGATTTTGGTATTCTTATATTATTCATTTAAGTCTTTTGATAACATTCCCAAGTCTGTACTTTTAATGGAAAATCATCTTAATATAAATCTGAGAGAAAAAATGAATGTCGAAACACATTGCAAATACCTATGAACAGTTAACCAAAACTAACATGAACTAGCACTACTAAACAACCAGTACAAAATGACGTAAATATGTGATAATTTCAGTCTAGATGATTCAAACTCATTTTAAAAAATGAGGAGTTCGTCACTTAAAACTAAAATGTTTCAAATATCTACTAACTGACTAAACAATAAAGCACTTGCGCACTGCTAAGGAGTCCCATACTAGGACAAAACGACCGTCCACTGCTTCTAGGTTTTTCATAGTGCTCTAGCTTCAATTGACTAATGATTTCAACTAGTGAAATTTCTAAAATCTCCACAAACCCCTTTCTGACATTAAATAATTCAATCAAATTACATTCTTTTTTCTTAGAAAACACTTCGGAATGGAAACCATTAAATGTATCTTGATTTCTTGTCCATAAATTTGAATATCAGATTAGATATTCTACTGAATATCGATCTATTCGTAGAGATTTATCAAAGTTTTCACTGTTGATTAGCTTAACGATGGTCATTTCATTACTGTTTTGTTGTATTTATTTATTTTTTTGATTGACACTTGTTAAATATAGAAATCTGTTATCTTCATGTCAGTCAGATACAATTTGTAAAAACATCTTAACATCATCTACAGATATAACGATTTTTTCACCGAATGCACAAGCCATGCAAAATTTTAATAAATTATCTACAAGTGAAAAGGTAAATTTATTTGAATTATTTACTCATTTGGAGCATTTAACTTGAGGTAATATAATCAGAAGATATTAGTTACACATAGAAGAAAACTAGATCGACTGTCCGACAATAAATATGGTAGAACAAACTAATCAAATATTCAGGAGACTGAAATTGGACATTTATAACAAATATTGAAAAATTGTTATCTTCGTATAGTAACTATTAGTACATATTGTGTTTCGGAAACTGCATTATTGATTTAGAGGCTTGTAGAGGGTAATTTAATTTGTATATATGGTCTTCATAGCGAACTAATACTAATCCAAGGATTACTAAAAACCCTGTTTATAGAATTCTTTTACTATGGGCTCCATCAATTCCATTTTCGGATAGTATCTAGTACCTGCAGACTCTATCCTCTATCATTATAATATTCAGAACATCTTTTTGTTAGTGAACAGTACAATCTGGTTCATACATTTCTTTTTTTTCACATAATATTTCAAAAAACCAGTAGTTTCTCAGTAATCCATCAAGATGCTTGTATTTACTAATGACGTTATTTATTCTTTGAAGAAGCATTTTACACCAAGTCACAAAACGTCAACGATTCAATTTTTCTACCCATTGGGATATCACAAATATATCATCATTACTAGTAACATACATTGTGATTTATTATCTTTGTTGAAATTTCGACACAAAAAGTTTTGTTTATCTTTTTTCATTCTTTTTTACCTAAGAGCTAGATTTTATTTATAGTGAGTTGTTCAGAGAAATCATTCAGGCAGTGCAAATAAACAATTAAGAGATAGACCTGTTAATTGACGGATAAAAGTTTTAAAATCTTCATAGGTTAAATTGATACTAAACTTGAGAAACGAGTTAATTAAGTGCTTTAAAACATTAGTTTAACTGCCCGGAAACATTTACTTTTATTCAGCTTCATGATTATTAACACGTCGTAAACTAATAACTATGGTTATCGTTTATCAACTGCAAAACTAAGGTGGATACATCTTCCTAAAGACTAGTATGCACATTTGCTCTTATGCTTTTTATATACCGAAATGGATATTGGGTGAACTATTCACAAATTTTCTAAAACAACAGACAAAAACTTAACATACGACTGTATCTCATTGTATTCCTTAGAATTTTTTGAAAGTTCACATTCAAATACAATTTACAATTTTTTTATTTTTAGAAAAATCTTACCTTTTAGAATGCATTTTAGGAACTTCAACACTCCTTGTAAATTTTCAGTTAACAAACATAAAATGATGAGTCCAGCAAGTTTGTGAATTTCACTATCTTATTTATTTGAAGCAATGACAGGCAACAAGTTTCGTGCTGTTAACTAGATTTGTGCAGACATGACTCTAATGAAATGACTCCAGTAATTATTAATTTTAACAGTTATACTACTATTAAGTAGTTTAGCTATCCTTGTAGAAAATTTAAGAGTTTATTGATCGATATAAATGGGTCGAATATCGAGTATCATATTGAAGAAGTATCAAGTACAAAAATACTCAAACTCTTGACTGGGAAGAAAAGAGTTTAAGAAGTTCGACAACACTTATTTTTATTGAGATCATGAATCGATTAATGGTAGACCACCAATGGAAACATGGAAGTACCGGAAGGCCGTTTCGTCCCACTATGGGACTCCTCAGCTTTGCTAATCCAACATCCCGCACGCGAGACTCAAACCCAGAAACACCGGTCTCGCACATGAATGCTTAACCTCTAGACCGCTGAACCGTCATCCAACGGTGTTGATGTCTGACTTCAACCAATCCACAAAATCGTGCGACCATCTTCGACTGTCTTCGGTGGGTAAGTGTCTCACATCAGACACGGTTGAACTTCACTAATCACGGCTTCCCACTAGAACTCCAGGAAGTCCATCTTGCTTGTGAGATCGTGGATGTGCATTTCTGAAGAGTCCCGTACTAGAATGTTTGACATGCGCTTCTCTCCCTCTAAATGCAAGTTGTTGCTTAAGGACTGGCCTGCGTCAACACCTGAACTAAGAATAGGGAGTGAAGTAGTCGAACGCGTTCACAGCTTCACTTATCTAGGAAGTCTGATCAGCCCTAATGGGTTGGTGTCTGATGAAATCTCTGCACGGGTTGGAAATGCTCGTTTGGCTTTTACCAACCTACGTCACCTATGGAGAAGGTGAGATATTCGTTTATCAACTAAGGGCCGAATATACTGCACGGCACTTCGTTCTGTTTTACTTTACGGCTGCGAAACGTGGTCATTAAGAGTAGAAGATATTCGTAAACCACTAGTATTTGACCACAGATACCTTAGAAATATTGCTTGTATCTGCTGGGATCACCGGGTAAGTAATAGTGAGGTTAGACGCAGGGTATTAGGTAATGATGGTAAATCATTTGATGAGGTTATGAATCTTCATCGACTGAGATGGTTGGGCCACGTGTTACGTATGCCTGAATACCGATTACCACGACGTGTAATGCTATCCGGTATTGGAGATGATTGGAAGAAAGTTAGGGGCAGCCAAACCAAAACGTGGCATCAGTGCTTGAAGTCACTAACTTCTAGTCTGAGTCGTGTTGGTAGATGCAGACTACTTGGTTGGGGTCCGTGTGACTATCGTAACCAATGGTTGGAGACTCTGGTTGACATGGCTCAGAATCTACTACAGTGGCGTTAGTGTATACACTCTTTGTCTTCCTTTGAACCATGAGATCAAACTCACTTTATACTTTCTACGAACTAATTATTTTTCCCCGTATCATACCCTTATGTACAATCTTTTGTTATGCATTACTAACATTGAAGTAACTACTTCTATGAATTTGGTGTTCATCTTATTGTGCTAATGAGGTATGGCAACTTGGACCGATGCATGTATGTGCTTGATCCTACGTTATAGCTGACTGATTGACTAATTGACACTATTCAGAACACTTTCTTGATCAACAAAATACTAGTCAATATATGTCTATAGGAGGATAGAAAAAATTGCATCACCAAAATGGATTCGAGAATAGATAACAAATGAGGTTAACGTACTAATCAAGGGGTAAGGAAGAAAATAGTTTATGGGTCAGATAATAGTTCAATTGACAAATATGAAGAAAAGCGACAAACACAAAGGTCATAATAAACTGAATGATAATTTCACATGTTGAAATCATGAGTCAGTTGAAGCTAGACCACCATTGAAAACCTGGAAGCACTGGACGGCCGTTTCGTCCTGGTATGGGACTCCTCAGCAGTGCGCGTCCACGATCCCGTACCACGCGGGGCTCGAACCCAGGACCTACTGGCTTCGCGCGCCAGCACTTAACCACTAGACTACTGAGCCGGCATCCAACGGTGTTAATGTCTAACTTCAACCAATCCACGAAGCTGCGCCACCGTACACCATTATCTTCAGTGAGTTGTTATCTCACAACAGACCGGTTGAACTCCACTGGTAACGGCTTCTCACTAGAACTTCAGTAGTTTTTCCTGAAGTTGTTACCAGTGGAGTTCAACCGGTCTGTTGTGAGATAACAACTCACTGAAGATAATGGTGTACGGTGGCGCAACTTCGTGGATTGGTTGAAGTTAGACATTAACACCGTTGGATGCCGGCTCAGTGGTCTAGTGGTTAAGTGCTGGCGCGCGAAGCCAGTAGGTCCTGGGTTCGAGCCCCGCGTGGTACGGGATCGTGGACGCGCACTGCTGAGGAGTCCCATACCAGGACGAAACGGCCGTCCAGTGCTTCCAGGTTTTCAATGGTGGTCTAGCTTCAACTGACTCATGATTTCAACATGTGAAATTTCTAGAATTCTCCACAAAACCCATTCTGTGAATGATAATTTTAAAAAAACTTGTATAAAGTAATAATAAATTATTAGAGTTTAAAGTGCAGAATAGTAATTTAAAAATACCAATAATAATTAAATAAAAGTGCAGAACAAACAAAAAACACAGAAACATACTCATTAAGGGATTTAGGGCCAAGGAAGGATGAGGGGTTGGACAAATCGTTTCTGCACGCAAAGTTCAGGCTTGAGTTTGTGGGTTGCCAATGCCTCTGCGGTGCATAAAATATTAATTCGAACTCCTTTCAATATTAAGCATGGTTCAATCAATGACTCAATATTTACTTGCATAATATTATTTCTTAAATCTTTTTTGAATAAAGTACTTACATTGTCTTTGCTATTATGTAATCATTTGAAGTTAGTAACCTTGTAAATAAACCTAAATATTTTATTTCTCTATCAGGAAATATTAAGATTATCCATTATTATTATTATTATTATTATTATTATTATTATTATTATTATTATTATTATTATTATTATTATTATTATTATTATTAGATAATCAATAATTGAACATTAAATTTTATAATGATTTTTCCCTTTTCATTATTTTTTCCTTTAAGGCAATTTATCTTAAATATTTATTTTTACCTATGAAGTTATATCAAGCTGAAATGACATTAAATCGTCGTATCCCTATTGAAAATTTAGAAGATGCTATCCGCTTTAAAATAATCGATCAGTGTAAGTGTAGTGCGGTTTTATGTTATTTTCAATTATTTTTCTGTCTTTGTGATAACTAGACTTAACAGTTTAAATAAAAGATTTAACTTTATTTTTCATTATAAAGTTTGTAAAACATTTTAGTCGTTTCACAACAGTTTAATAAGGGAAGATCGACAAAATCCTTGTTTAAGTATATGGTAAGCATTGAGAAGTATATGGTTAATAGAAGTATATAAAATTGATTAGATGAAATCTTGTAAATTACAAGTCATTTTCATCATATTGCAATGAGTTGGTAGGTTTAATGCACACGAAAATAATTAACCTTCATAAGATTAAAAACAACTTGTGTATCGGATGAAATATAATACATGCAATTGCTTAATTCTGTTTCCACTTAATAGTACAATGTTTCATTCAACAGTAACATTGGAACTATCTCTTCTGATTATTGGCTATTTCACAATTCAAAACTAACACATAATTCTATAATCTGTTTAAACTTGAGTCTAGTGAATGAAAAAAAAAATGAAAAAAACTTAAATGACTGATCATGTGGGAGCATTATAATGTGAATGCTTCTGCCTCTAAATTTGTTTATTGCACCGGATGAACAATCGTCGGAAAGTCGTTTTGATGGGTTTGAGAAGATTTGAGATGATTTAAAAGTATTTATCATGATGGATTAGAGTTGATTAAAGAACCACTGAAAATTATTGAGTTGTCCCATAATATTTAAATAATAATAATAATAATAATAATAATAATAATAATAATGAAATTGATTAAATCTCTCGTCTATATTCAATTTTTCATATTTTTGTGACATATCTATTTTATGTAATGTTATTTAGAAAACAGAACTGATAGTTCTAAGTTACCTTTTGAATTAATGAATAACTTTATAAAACGTTAGGAAAAATATACCATTTCTTTTTTATGCACTAACATCTCTCTTTAACCGTTTATTATACATTGTGAATAATTTTACATTGAAATCCAGTTTACTGAGTAAACATTATTTTCAATCTTTATTCCTTTGATTAATAAAAAGTTAAATTAAGGGGACTATAAGTGTCACAACTGATTAAGTAAGTATTTGTATATTATGAATGAATTCACATATTTTGTTTTTTGTTTTTACAATAACTGTCAAGTTGATTCAGTATTATCAGATCCGTTATTTGGGATTTGTTATTTTATATTGATATTTCTACAGTACATATAATCAACAAATACTTTACTTAACCTTTGTACAACTTTTATTTTATGTAAATTATTTGTCAAATTCCATATAAAATGACCTTTTAGACAATAGTACACCTTTAGTCATGTTATAATGTTAGTTGATTGATGGCACATGGCAAAAAATTGTAAATCTAGGTTTCGTGCTAATCGATACTCGTCAGTAAAACATATTTAGATTATTGACGAATTAGAACGGAAGGTCTACAAAAATATAATATTTGTTATTTAGTCAATTAAACTATATGAAAGTTAATAATTGAATGAGTAAACAACTTTTTATATTGTGGATTATTTTTTTAGCTACTTTTATTGAAGCTCGATTACCAAATCAAGGCTATGTTGCATCTCGTATTATCAATGCTAATCAAGTGGCAACCAACGGTATTATTCATACTATTGATGCTATTCCAGGTTTACCATATGAAACAGTTCAACAATATGTAGCTAGAATCCCCGATTTTAAGTAAGTTTTTTTTGATGAATTAATTAATTGCATTAACAGCCAACAAAAAAATCAACATTCGGTTTGGTAAGACTATAACTGCATCAAATCTTTCAATAATTATTCAACACTGATTATCTTTTTTTATAAACATATTATAGATCTAATAATTTGATGCATTTTGAAAGGTTTCCATAATGAACCGTTCAGTTTTTCATGTACTTTAGTTTCTGCAGTTATTTTTTGTTATTTCAGTTACTGTTATAATGAATGTTGTAGCGAGACTCTAATTTATAGACGACCTTTGAATGAATCTAAAGTGACCTTGAGAAATATTAGCCAATGAGCAAACAGTCTGTATGGAGTAAAAAGATGTTATACAAAACCAAGGCAATAAAGTGGATACACTTCTTACACGTGGCTCAAAACTTTTCAAGGTTAGAAAGAGGTTCAGAGGTTCTAAAGTCGTAATGCATGCAGTAGAGGAAATCATCCATATGGATACAGAATAGTCGACCTCTGGAGCCATTATAAAGTCTCAAAAGCTTTTTCAGCCTCGACCACATAGCTTCAATATTGTTTGTGCGCACTCCGGTTGTGGAGTACACAAAATGCCACTTGTGGATCACAACACGGTGCAGATAACCAAGCCTATGTAGGAGTCTGTACGCTCTTCAAACATCCGTATTGTTGTAGTACCTGGCTGCAGCCAGTGTTACTGGTGTTTTTATTATCCAGTTCACAATAATTGTAGTAATTTGCCTTAGTTAGAAACTATATGTGGGATTTTCATCACGAACTGACATCAGCTATAATGCCAGAAGTTTATTTAGCTGAATGCATGAAAGGCTTTAAATCTCTAAAACGCTTCTGATTGGCTCGTCCATAAATTAGAGTCTCGCCAGTGTTGTTTCATCGAAAAGGTTTCTATGGCTCATTGGAATCTTTGATGCTTCTAATAAAAAGATTTACGCTTTAATTAAACTAAATCATTTAATACATTGAAAGATTATATTTTAATGTAATTGATAAGATTTATTGTTGTGATCTAATTTTAATCATTTAATTTTAGTTTATATTACAATACAGGTTTTGTTCAGTCAATGACTATTGGTGAACCATATACATTTCTAGTACCAACAAATCAAGCTATGACTTCTATGAATAATGACAATGAAGTGGGGAGAAAACTGTTAACTGATAAACTTCGAAAAGATTTTGTGAGTAGCTTTTTTATTTTGTAGGGAAATAATACTATTGTTATTAAACATTTATGCAAGTAAAATAAGTGTTTTAATGAATGTGAATACGAAGAAAATCTTCATTGGATGATCATTTTAATCTCAGGATCGGTGATTGACTGTTATGTCTTTATTTGATACTTTCTTATTATTGCTCATTAGTTACACCTAGACGTGGAATCAAACTCAGAATTTATAGATCTTATCATCATAAATATACCACTCAGTTACTGAGTCCAAATCAAATGACTGATATATTTTTGAATTTTTCTGAGATGAAAATTTACCAAACTATGAACATTCAACTTTTATTACATTGAGTCGATGTGTATTGGAACGGATGTCCTGGATTTCTGACGAGAATCTGTGATCTATGGAATTAATTCAACCAAATTGAGGGAGGTACAGCCGACTATTTATGAAGAACAAAACAGAAACAAATGCAAAGTTCTACATTGGTTCACATTCTGAGTCAAATATAATGACGTGTGCGATCGATGAGTTTCATACTCTCCGTAGTCACATTTATAAAGCTGCAATAGGTCGGAGGAAACTACCATACATAAATATCCTTCATACATTGTAGTGGTAACCTGACGATCTTTCTAAATTTTAATCAGTAATAGAGTCAAAAATAGTACTCAATGTGAAGACCATTAACGGAACATTTATGAAAAGTCTTAAAACCACTAAAGCCAGGAATTCAAAATGGCAACAAGTACCGAATGGTGATCTAGGTCATAAACGGGGATGGTTTTTCATTTTCATGATGTCCTTACTAAATATGAATGGTTTTCTAAAGGTAGCAATCATTAAATATCGAGAATTTCCAAAGATTTAAAGTCAGTTTTTGCGACTACACAATAGAGCCACTTGAATCGGTTTACTCTACACCAACGTTTTTAGAGTTAGATCAGCAGCACTAAATCTGAACTACAGATGGTGTGATCCATGATGGCATTCAGAGAACGAAGATCGATCATTTTTAAACGAACAACCACTACTAGTAATTAAGCAACTACTCAAAAGATAGATAAGTTACATTGTGTAGCTATTTAAATATACTAGAACAACAAGCTAACTTGGTATATTCTTACGTACATAAATATCATATTATCTGTTTATGAAAATTGTTTTCGTAAACTACTTACGTCATAAAAGTAATGAAATATATACGGGCAAGTTAAACAATGAACAACTTTGCTTTTTGACAGTCTAAATCACTTCTTTCAGATTCTATATATATATAAAGCCGTACTTTATTTTTTTTATAGGTGTTTCGCCGAAATACATTTCCACTTGACTTGATAATTCAAGATTTGGATATACGTAAAGTGTATTATGTGTCTACAGCAAATTATGCATTCACACGTGAACAATTACGTTTGGACATTAGTTCTAAGAATTCTGATGAAGGTGAACTACATACTAATCATATTGAATTATTTTCTTAAATAATTAATTATGATCACGATTGGAGAATTATAATAATCATTTTGTTGAATCATTTGTGAATATTAGGTATATTAACATCAATCCTCAACAATCTTTCATTAGTCTTGATCTGATCAGTATCGTGTACAGCTTAAAATTTTATCTGATGTTACCTAGAAGTAAACTTTTGTTCACTGATTAATTAAATGGTTGAATAGTAAGAAATTGAAGAATTACAAAAAATATGATAAATTTAACATAAATCTTGTCCACGTTTTCAAAAAGAGCTTTTTGTACAAGTAGTGGCTTACAATACTGTTAGTGGGACATAGACTGGATTAAAGCATGCTCAATGCACGATTGCTTTGCTGCACGCTGATTGGCTAATTCTTATCCAATCAGCACTAGTCGATAGTTGGAGAATACTCTAGAATCTTTTCATGTAAAAACTATAAGTATACTGACGTTTTCCCTATTGTGCTTCTTACTTGCATCTTACTTCCATCTAACTTTGTTATTTGGAATATAATCTCTTTCCTGTTCAACCGTGTTTTGATTTGGGGACTTGTCGAGTGATTTGGTGTTCAAGAATACTAAGCAATAGGAATAGCTGAGTCATAACCGTAAGAAAAAGAGATTATAACAAATACTTTCATAGATAATAATATTGCTGACATTGTAAGTAAAGATGGATAGTGGCTAGCAATGGAAGCCGGGACGCGCGTTTCATCCTTATCGGGACTTGTCAGCTGGATGTACCTGCATCTCAGAGTTGATGTTCACTCTGGGACTCGAGGTCAGTACCGTTCGCTTCAAACGCCATCGCGTTATCCACTTAACTACTGAGTCCTAATAGCCACTTGCTTGTGCAGCGTCCTGGATTCCACTGCTAATCACTATCCATCTTTGCTTATAATGCTTGTAAATTAAGGTAATATCGAAGTAATACGCACAGTATGCATATATGCCAATAAGAGACTGATTTATTGCAGTCCTAAACATCAATGGGAAGATTCAAGTAAAACAATACCAAGTGAATTAATATTGTTGACAGTTTTGAGTCAGACTGGTTAGCTTATCAACTTTTATTATTAATTGAATGTTCAATAGCTGGTCATATCAATAAGTAGTTAACACTTAAACTATCTTTATCAATTTACCAATTAATCAATATAAGAAGTGTCAGCCAATGCTTATAAGATTAAGATATCGTAAAGGATTTTGGTACAACACACTTTACGGTTGCTGGAATAAAATATTATTGGACATGTGGAGAAACAGTTAAGTTTGTAATTGTCAAGACGAACACTTTGTTAGGTTGATGATTTGTTGAAATTTGGGATTAAAGTCTTTTAATGAAATATTTACATCACATGTTATAGAGCTACAAGACTTTCTTAATGTTCTTGTGTTTGATAAATTTTATAATCCCAAAATCTGCTATTCCAGGATTCTGACTGTTCCAACATTTCATACACATAGATCTCTTTATCATTTTGAAAAGAGCAAGAACAAAGATTCTAGCAGAATAGCATGAATTCATTTTATTTCGTTTGGTTCTCGTCAGCTGTTTACAACCTGTGATATTTAAAACATTATTAAGAAAATGGGTTTAAATTACTTACATGGAAGAGTTTTGTTGGAAGTTACGTTGAAGGCACATTAGTATAGTATAGCAAGGGTGTAAATAAATTTAATGGCCCGAATATTGCAAATTAATACCCTATGTAAAAGAACATTCTACAACACTGATTATAACAAGTCCAAAGGGCTAGAAACAAATGATTATATAATAAGTAAACTCTGATAAGAATAAAATGAGTAAAGCTCAGTCAATAAAATAAGATTACTAATCAAGAAGACAGTCGAAATAAAAAACCCAATGGTGTAATAAATGCAAGAAAAAGTGTTTAGATGAAACGAAGGGATAGTTGTCACGAATGCAAGGAAATATCAGTAACCATCTTCTTTTGAACACATAAATCAGATTTTTGACGCCTGATAGCAAAGGCTTCAGTAAACCTCAGAAGATTGGAGTTTGACTGTCTAGATTACAAGGTATCGACCTGGTGTCCTGTATCCAAGAGATTTTCAGTAATTGCACTGTTTAGAGTCGTTCGTTCTCTTGTTCTAGGGCTTTTTGGAAAAAACTCAAAAAATCTAAGATATACCCTCCTTTCTGTTCGGCCAATGTATCTGCTTCGGCAGGTATACATAAATTTATAAACACAGTTGGCGGTAGCATGAAAAAGGTGCTTGTTAACCTTTGATTGGGTTATCGAACATATTGTTTTATACAGAATTAACAAAACCATTAAAAATGTGATGAATAACCTTAATATTTCCTTTATATAGGAACATCCAAAGAAATGATTATTTCTATGAATTATTTCAATACTTTTGTTGTTTACTTATACCGCTGCTTCACAACTAATGTTTTTTTTTGTATTTTTTCAACTTACATTATTTTAATTCCTTACAGAGGGTGTACTCACACATCAAGGCGAAAAAATTCAATTATTATCGCTAAATGGACCTTATCAATTTACAAATGGTTTTCTTTATTCAATAGACAGAATCCTTTATACGAAGTCGGATCTTAACGCAACAATGTGCACTGTATCAGCTTGTGCATAAGTGGAACAAATTTCTGGTTGAATTAATTATTTATTTACCAGGGTTGTCTTTAATATTGAAATGTGATAAACTTTACCTAATTTGATTATTTCTTCTGATGCACATTCGGTGATTTATTATCTAGTCTGTTCATATTAAGTAATATTCAGTATGAGTTTTCATTCGATTTGTCCTTATTAATAAATATATTACAAAAAGTAACTCGTTTTTCATCTGAATCTTCAAAAAAATTGCTTAATTAATTTGGAGTAAGCAGATAAATTGATTCCCCTTGGTGAAGTTTTTAATCGAGTTTCGTCTTCTCTAAAATTCTACTGATAATGTCTATTAAGTACTGATCACCCTTCAAATGTAAGGTCTAGTTTGATTTTAACTGAAGGAGTTGAGTTCACGGATAACTTTAGATACCTCGAGGACCTCATCTCATATGTGTTTATCCTTAGTGAAACCTTACATAGACGTAAGAGGCCGATGTGAAGTGTGATAACTCGAATTAATGTAGATTTGCATGATATATTCAGTTATTTCTGCCTTTGACCCCATTGCACAAACTAGTGACCATCAGGACTCAATATCTAAGTGGATAGTGCGATGGCATTTAGAGCGAGTGGTATTGAGTTCGAGTTCTGAAGTGAACATCAACTCTGAGATGCAGGTACATCCAGTTGACAAGTCCCAAATAGGATGGAACGCGCATCCTGGATTCCACTGCTAGCCACCATCCATCTTATGTATAGTAATATTTGTAGGGCTGTTCACTTGAGTCCGTATTGTATAACAATTGTGGAAATATCCAATTAAACAAACTATTTTGAATATGAATAGATAATGTAAACAAACTGGGCAAAATGATTTGGCTTTAAAATCATTAAAATAATGGCCAATATGCATACATAATAAAAACGAAAGTAAAAAATTTTAATAAGTTAGGTATTTTTAAGATTAATATCGAAAATATATCGTTTAATTTTAAAACGGAATACTTTAAATGTTAGTTCATAATTTTCTGCCTCTTCAACAAGTGATCTTAGACAATTACGTCGTTTGTCTTTAGCGTTTCTCAATATTCATAATATTGATAATTAGATATATTGAAGTTGTATTTTCTTATCAACATTACTGTATAGTAAAAAGTCAAGATCAGATAGTGTATCTCAGTTGGGCTATGTCTACTATTTTTACTTATCACTGATACTAATACTACCATTAATTTTAATACTTTAGTATTCATCTTGATATTTTTTTCTTGATGTGTCGATGTGGCGTAGTAACTAAGACTTGTGAATATTTGTGCCAGATTCTATGTTTTTTACGACTGATTTATACTTTTTAGTTCAAGATTCCTGTTTTTTTCATGACTTGATTTCCGAAAACTAATCAAAGTACCTAAACATTACAATAAACATTGATAAACGGTAGACGATATTTCTACATAAGCAAGAACTATTTCTTATATTATTTGTCATAGTAATCAGTTTATTTAACAGACACTAACTACACCAAGGATTAGGTTAATCATCTAAGACAATAATTCATCTTAAATTACTGTTAAAATGTAGATAACATTTATTTCTTGTATGTAATTCCCTTGATCATCTTAAAGAAAGGCACTATTAGCGTTTCTTTTTTATATGATGTATAAAAGTCATCTTAATTGTCCTATTGGTTGCCCTGGTGAACGAAATAAGTTACTTTTAATTCACCTTGACTATATCTAACTACTACTATTTAGCAAGAAATGCTGATTAATAAGAACACTAAAATTCATACAACATTTGTATTTCTTAGCCACTTCTATAATTTAAATATTCCAGATAGGAAAAACAGCAACTACTATCATTAACAACCATCTATGCTTAAGTAGCGTTCTCAGTAATTTATCAGACTGACAATGAAATAGCAGGTTAAAGATGGAATGTGGCTAGCAGTAGAAAACAGGACAAGCGTTTCGTCCTAATTGAAATTCATCAGCTGAATGTGGCTTGTTCCCAGACTTGGGGTTTACTCTGCAACTCAAACCAAGTTCCGTTTGCTTTAAACTCTGTCACGTTATCCAGTTGGTTACTGAGTCCAGATAACTACTCAGTTGTAAAAACAGGTATGAGATTTAATTGAATTTGAAATTAGCCCGTTGTTGATACTTTTGGCTGAATTTTGATCAGTGTTGGTTGGTATGTGAGCACCCTGTTCGGATCGCCTTGATATCGCCGTTAAGACACAAATTGATACAAAATAAATGGAAAGACTATGATTATGGATATGTTATCTGTGATTCATATACACCTAGCTAATGAGTCCCGATCGGGACGAAATATATGTCTTGGATACCACTGCTGACCAAATCTAACCACTTATTACAAATCTAATCTAGCGTACAAGCATCAGATAGCTTTGGATTTAGCTTCATATTAAAAAAGACATTAATGACTGAAACATTCAATTCATGGTCATTCTTAATCATCCAACAGATCCTTGGAATAATGCAGTTTGTAGTTAACATCATTTTCTTTGATAAAATTCAAATACTATTTCTCGGATCACTATTTATTTACTTTTTTGAAGCTACCGGAAAGGCAATATATTCAAACACTTATTTTCTATGTAATTACTATACTTGTCACAGCTTGATGTAACCTATAGACATATCCTATGATTAAACTTGAAATGACAAAGAACTCATTAATTCAGTATTTTAGCTAGGCTGTTAAAAGTTATAGAAGAAAAATTAAGAAACGACTAATTAAAATGTTGATGTGTATATGGATTCTCTTTTAACATAGAAAATAATTTCATTCGCACTGCATATGTCAAGGTAATTTTCAAAGAAAATGTCAAGATCTGGTCATTTAGACTACAATAAAAGAATATGGTTAACTATATTGTAGACTGAAATCCTTCAATGTAATCACAATTGATTGATCACTGGGTGGTGATCAATGTCATGCTTGTCTAGTCCTTATTAGTGCAGATCGAAGGCTATCGACCAAGTTGCAATGTCGCCACCAGTCTAGATGACTCAACATTGCGTGCACTATGTTGAGATAAGATGGTGGTTGGAGGTAGTCAACAGGAAACCCTGGACTCGGGTTTCGTGCTACTTGGCACTCGTCAGCAAGGTGTATCTGTAATCTTGTGGGAACTGGTGCTCCCTGACAGATTCGGTCTCGTGTCACCCAGCTTCACAGTCAGAGACGTTACCACTGGGCCATTCGAGTCGCGACCTCCTGTATGACTGAGATGTAATTACAATTGATTGTTCACTGAAATCTTTCAATGTCTTTTACATTTCTCTTTCTAAAAATTGTATATATAATTACTGACGAATGAAATACATCACTAGTTTGTTTATTAACAACTATAACGGATCTTTCTAAATTCTTATTGTTTGTTTATTTCTTTCATTAAAAATCTTATTCAAAATGAATGATTTTTAAGATTTTGATAGTATACAAATCTCCAAAGAAAAGAACAAAGATTCATTTCATTTTCTTAATTAGGATATGAAAGAATAAAACCAACACATATCTCTTAACATTTATATGAATAATAGCACTATTATTATTATTATTACTGTTATTATTAGTAGTAGTAATTGTTGTAGTAATATCATGAATATGCAGATAGACAGAATTAAAAAAGCCTTCATTCAAGGAGAATACAATGAATTTTCCATATGTTGCCAACTTGTTTTATGATTAAAAATTAATGTAAACAACATTTCATAGTGGTATATAGCAGTACATCAAAAACACCACACGATTTCATTTGTTTATATGACTGAACTATAGAGTTTTTTTTCCCTCAAATTCATTCAACCGTTAAGCAACTATATGTCAGATTATTATCTGTTATCCATTATCCAGTTGAAATACATTTCCTGTTAATTTATATTCATATAATCCTTTAGATTAGTGTGTAAATAACAAAATACGATTCTAGATTTTGATGACTGATTTCCCGACTTATTAATTCGTATTTTTTTCTCATTTGTTTATATACATTACATGAATGAATAGGTGTGTTCGTTTTTTTCTTCTTTACATTGAAGATCTAAAAGGTTTGATAACTTGTTTGGAACTAAATGAATAATGGTCATTATGTTTTTTTAACTAAAGAATAGTTATGGATGCTCAAAGACTATAGTTAAGAAAGGAAACAAATAGATTTTAAATAATATTATGATGTGAATGATCTTATCAGTAATTGGAACACCATTTGATCATAAAATATAAATAAAGGGTATCTTATTTATGGAACTTTATTATCCAATATGGAAAGATCCTAATGGACATGAATATTTACATTGAATATTTATTCAGTAGTTTTTAATGTCATGTTCATTTAGTCCTTTAGTAATGATCACTTTCTGTATATCAAGTTATATTGTGACCACCAGTTTAAGTAATTTGACATTTTGATTTTATATGGTTGGAGGTGATCGATGAGGTGTTCTACTTTATTTGAGTTTCCTGCTTGTCCCCACTGGTTATTAAGGCATATTTTTAAGTTTGAGAGGACTAGCTCTTTTTGGAAAATTAAAACACACTTCACGAAGCGTGATGAACCATCGATCAAATGCCTTCTGACGCTTGATTACAACTATCTAAGGGAGAAATGATTATTTTTTATGACTGTGGTTGATTTCGTCAATTAGACGTAATACAGGTTATATAAAAGTAAAACGAAACTTTGTCATTATGACATGAGTATTGACTGAATTCTATCGTTCAGATTGAGTATATATCTGCTTTTTTAAGGAACGTGACTTGTTCAAGTAGAATTTGATTGTTAAAAAGGTTTAGGTAAACTACAACATAATGTCAGTATCTCATTCTTAAAAATGGTAAGATGTACTCTGAATAACTCAGTGGTAATTTTTCTGATTGTGAAACAAGGTGATAGGATTCGAAACCCAAAGATTTCGGGTCAGTCAATATTCTTGACATATCATGTTGTTGAGTGCTAGCTAACAGACAATCAATCTCAAACAGGGCTTTCTACATATTATCTAATATCACAAAATAGTCATGAAGAAATATCTAATGATATGTTATATTTGAAATTTTATCTTTCGGATACAAATTGGTTGAATAATATACGTTTCATCCTTATAAAACACTGGTCAATGATTCGTTTATGCAGGAATTACTTTGGCGAATTACTTTGAATGAATTTGGTAAAATTGTATGGATTGTTTTG